ACAGGGTTTATCGAGGATCTGTTCCCAGTAGGGGAGGGACCGAATCCTGTTCCACCCCTTGCTCAGCCCTGCCCCCTGCCTCAATAAAACAGGAAACTCTTTAATCGTTCGAGGCGCAGACCAGACGCGCCGACAGGAAGCCAGGGCCGAGCTGCAGGGGGATTTGCGGGGCCAGAGCTGGGACAGCGGGTACCAGCCCTGTCACCTGTAACCCTGCAGCCAAGCGCCATGAGTGGCTGGGGAGAGCCAGGGGGCCCTGGGCAGGGGTCCAGCACTGAGAGATGTTGCCAGACATGAGACCTTGCAGACTGGATTCAGAGGGGGAGACATGACCCCGACGCGGGGGCTGATGCTGGGGAGAAGGATCCTGCCCCCTGGAAACTGAGAGCCTGTGGGCACTGCCAGAGCAGGGTCTGACCATGTGTCACCACAGCGGAGCCAGGGCCGGGGAGGGAGGCCTGGGATGTGGGAGGAACAGACGGTGAACTTTCCTTACATCCCAGAGATGTCTGGTATCCCCATGCCCACAAGGCAGAGTCCCTGTTCCTTTAACCTTTTCCGTATATTTCTTACAATTGATGTTTAATAAATTGTATTTGGGTTGAATTTAATGCACTGGTCAGGGAAATGGCTGATGTGTAGAGAGACCCCTGTCCTGAGTGATCACGACAAGAGTGCGGTTTCAGGCCCCCAGGGATCCTGGGCCCAGCCTTGTCAGGGTTACGAGGACTCTGCCGCATGGGAGGGAGGAAGGGGAGCCCTCGAGAGTGGCCGGCCTCCGGGTACAGGGAGCTGGAGCGATCACTCAGATCCTTTCACTATCTGATACCACCAGGACAATGCAGAAGGCAGGAAAGTTCCCCACAACAGTGAGACGATCCCTCCTCCCCCTCCCATCCCCCACTTACATAAAGTTTGAGAGAGACAAGGTGGGTGAACTAATATCTCTTACTGGAAAAACTTCTACTTGGGAAAGAGACAAGCTTTCGAGCTGCTGTCGGGTGGCTGCCGGCTAAACAGCTCCACATGCCTGGACCTCGCCTGTGTTTCCTTGCAAGAGTTAAGGGCTGTAGGAATTTTGGTTGCAGTTCGGTGGCTCAGAGCCAGCCCCGCTTCCCGGCTTCCTCCCATTTCTGGGAAAGGGGCAGCTCAGACTTTTGGTTTTGGTTTCCAGGAGCACAGGATGCAGATCAGTTCCTGAGACTGTCCCAAAGCTCCCTGTGAATCAAATGATGGTGTTGGAGCAATGAAAGATTCTCCATTGCCTGCACCTTGCAAACTCATTCACACGAGTGCAAAGCAGGTGAGTAATAAATACCTCAATAGTATTCATCACCATGTATTTTTGACAGGTTTCCATGCTCCCTTTGGGGCTTATGTCCCACCCTCTGTTCCCGTTTCCATTGGTGTCGAGGTTTGGTGCCATTGGCCAATTTTTTTTTAAAAAGTGCTTATTTTTTATGGTGGAATAGGGGGAATGTTGCTTGCTTGTGCTTTGATATATTTGGTTGATTGTTTAGAGAAAAGTGCTTTGAGCATTGGCCTGCTAAACTTAGGGTTGTGAATTCAATCCTTGAGGGGGCCACTTGGGGATCTGGGGCAAAATCAGTGCTTGGTCCTGCTAGTGAAGGCAGGGGGCTGGACTCGATGACCTTTCAAGGTCCCTTCCAGTTCTAGGAGATGGGATATCTCCATTAATTATTATTATTATAAAAAGGTTGAAATAATAGAGGGAGAGAACTGAAAGAAAAATAAAGATTTTTTTTTGAAAGGGTTAGTTTGAAAGAATAGAGGCAAGTTACTAAATAAAAAGATTTTTGGTTAGGTTTAGTAAGGAGAGATGATTTTAAAGGACTAGTTTGGCATGTTATTAAAGAATTAAAAAATTGAGATTATATTTAATACATCTTTTAAATTCAAGGTAGGTTTAAAAAATACATGGCAAAAAAGGGGGAATTTTATAAAGTGGAGACTGTTTGGTATCCTCCCTTTATATTTTTACCATGTGCTTAATAGAAAAGCATTTAAAATGTTAAATATAAGGGTAGGTTAAGAAAAGAGCATTTAAAAAGAGTGAAATAAAAGAGAAACATATAAAGAGAAGTTAAAAGTGAAAGCAGGGCAAGAAAAGGGAAACAAAACCCCTTTGCAAAGGGCAAAGACAGATAGCCCGTGGTTGAGCCAGAGAGAGAGAGAGATCTTACCCTTGCAGCTGTTCCTGGGGAATGGAGGAGCTCCTAAGGCTCACAAACCCTCAGGTTAGTTATCTCCATCTTTGGATCGGACCAATCAGATGCTGTTCTACAGCTGCATCATAGAATACATTTTCCTGAACCAATCCTATAGTCCCAAGATTTTTAAACAAGAGCCATCTCCCTCCCCTCCTGCCCCCCTTTAACTGACTTATTCTTATCTAAAAAAAAAAAAATCCCAAACGTTTCCCCCCACCATGTATCACTTTGACATAAGTGCTTTAACAAAGGTTAAAACCATAAGCCCTTAGTAACAACCAGTTGTTAAAAGTTTCTCCCTATGTTGTAGAATAGCATTGATCATTTTTTAGTGAGGATGATTTGAACCTGCCGCTAAGTCACCGTTAGGAAAAACAGCATCTGTGAGTCAGTGGATAAGAGATAAGAAAGCTGCTTCTTCCCCCACTTTTTAACAAATACAGGTGAAAGTTATATTAAGTCTTGTAAAGGAATAAACACTGTAAAAGACAAGCCTATATGAAGACATTCTTTTATTTAGCACTTTTCATATGTTTCAATAAAAAGTTACCATGCTGAAACTTCCCAAGGTTAAAAAACACAGAAAACTTGTTTATAAAAGTAATTATAATGATAAAAAAGATTTCCTGTATGGTTTAGACTAACATTGCATTTTCTAGTGAGGACAATTTGAAGCAGCGTTCTTTTTCAGCAAAGCCACTGTTAGCAAAAACAGCCTCTGTGAGTCAGTGGATCAGAGATAAGAAGGCTGCTTCTCCCCCCACTTTTTAACAAATACAAGTGAAAATTATATTAAGCTTTCATTTTCGTTTGAAAGAATAGAGGGAAATTATTAAATAAAAGAAAGATTTTTGGTTAGGTTTAGTAAGGAGAGATGATTTTAAAGATATAGTTTGGCATGTTATTAAAGAATAAACAATTTTTAAGATACATTTTAAAGGTGTATTAAATATAAGGGTAGGTTAAAAAAGAACACATGGGAAAAAGGGAATTTTATAAAGCGGAGACTGTTTAGTGAGCACATGGTAAAAATATAGAGGCTGGTTAATAAAGAAGCATTTAAAATATTAAATATAAGTGTAGGTTAAAAAAAGAGTGAAATAAAAGAGAAACATATAAAGAGAAGTTAAAAGAGAGAACAGGGCAAGAAAAGGGAAACGAAACCCCTTTGCAAAGGGCAAAAATAGACAGCCCGTGGCTGAGTCAGAGAGAGAGAGATCTTACCCTTGCAGCTGTTCCTGGGGAATGAAGGAGCTCCCAGGGCTCACAACCCCTCAGGCTAGTTATCTCTGCCTTTGGATCAGACCAATCAGATGCTGTTCTACAGCTGCATCATAGGATACATTTTCCTGAACCAATCCTATGGTGCAAAATTTTTAAACAAGAGCCAACTCTGCCCACCCCCCGCCCTTCACTACCCCCTCCCCTTTAACTGCCTTATTCTTATCTAAAAAAACAGATCCCAAGCATCTTTCCCACCATGTAGCCCTTTTACATATGGGCTTTAATGAAGGTTAAAACCATAAGTCCTTAGTAACAAACAATATTTAAAAGTTTTCCCTTATGTTTTAAACTAACACGGGTCATTTTTAAATGAGGACAATTTGAATCTGCAGCAAAGCCGCTGTTAGCAAAAACAGCATCTGTGTAGCAGTGGATCGGAGATAAGAAGGCTGCTTCTTCCTCCACTTTTTAACAAATACAAGTGAAAGTTATATTAAGTTTTGTAAAGGAATAATCACTTGAAAAGACAAACCTTTATGAAGACACAGACCTTCATTTATTTTACAGGTGTGTTTCAATAAAAAAAATG